AAGTCCATAACCATTCTAAATGATGTAAAAAAATAGACAGTTCTGTTGGACATCTGCAGATATTTATAGCCATTAAATTAAATCTCTCTCTGTATATATATATATATATATATATATATATTAATTACTCGGTTGTCTGTATAAAGTATGTACCTATTTCATAGGATATGCCTGTGAAAAGTTTCAAGGATGCAGCTGAGGAGAAGTTGATGATCACACCAATATTCTGAAAGGTTCAAAATCTCTAATTCTTTACAATTTACAAACTTTTACTAGATAAAATGATAAACATGTTATCTAGAATTTAAGATTATAACCTTTTTTGTTGAATTATTAGATCTGCACAAGTTTTATTGTGGCCAAGGCAAGTGACATAATTTTAATGTTGTAAAGAAAAGGTCCTATTTAAAAATAAAACAAGAAACCTTCAACATTCTGTAAAGCTAGCTATACTCTTGAGTTTATAAAATTCTGTAGAATGTGTGTAAAAACACCTAATGCTATTTTGTAGAATGTCTGAAAAATATATATAACCATTCTTTAAATTGTCTGTAGAAAGTTTATACTATTTCTACACGATGTCTTTAAAAAGGTCTATACCCATTTTGTAGGATTTAGATAAAAATGTATGACAATTCTGGATAATGCCAAAAAAATCTTTATATTCATAACATTGGATGGCTGTAAAAGTGGGGGGTTGTAAGGCCAGATAGTTAGGGTGCTAGTCTCGCAATCCAAGGGTCGCGGGTTCGAATTCCCGTCACATGAAGTATGCTCGCCCTTTCAGCCGTGGGGGCGTTATAATGTGACGGTCAATCCACTATTCGTTGGTAAAAGAGTAGTCCAAGAGTTGGCGGTGGGTGGTGATGACTAGCTGCTTTTCCTCTAGTCTTACACTGCTAAATCAGGGACGACTAGCGCAGATAGCCCTCGTGTAGTTTTGCACGAAAATTCAAAACAAACAAATTGTAAAAGGGTCAATAGTCATTTCACATGATGTATTTAAAATGATGATTGTAATTCTTTAGGATATCTGCTAAAGGTCTATAATCATCCATTAGACTGTCTGTACAAAGCATATACTGATTACATATGATATCTGTTAAACATTTGTAACCACTTCATAAAGATTCTGTAAATGTTTAGTGAAATTTTGTAGAAAGTCTCTAAGTCTACAGCCATTCTACATGATTGTTGTAAAAAGTTTTATCACTATTTAGGCTATCTAAACCAACTTCTAGTGCAGAATTTTTATTTTATGTTAGTACTGTTGAATAAGAAAACCATGGATGGTGATAAAGTGTAGTGAAGAGTCAGACTGTATTACAGTCTGGTAATGAATATGTGCAAGACTGCAAGTGTTCTCTTATTGTGTTTAAATCTCCTACTAAACAAAATTCACGTGCATATATTACCTATATTTAATGTGAGCATTATGATTTAGATAATTTGTATAGCATGAGTATTAAAGTTAAGTTATTGTTAGAAGCAATAGTTATGCCAAGTTTTTTATGTAACTATTTTTGAATCATTCCTTGTGTAGTTAAATTGTTGTGAACTGGCATCATGTTACTCGAACCTCCCAAATGTTTTTGCTTTAATCAACCATTGTTGCATCATAATATCTCATAGTATACGGAAAGTTCTAGGCTTCTATTGGGCTATATATATATATATATACATGAATTCAAAATGTAGTTCAAGTAAGTCAATAAGTTAGATAGATAGGTAGATCTAGACTGCATGATTATGAGTTTAGCCATATAGAGCATTTAGTGGTGACTTTTAAAGTGAAATTATCACATACTGTATTGCAATAACAAAGTAGAGATGAATAATTTGTCTTGTCAATTGTGTTCTAAAGTAATTGAACAAACCTGTGTGGACTTTGATGAAAACAGACAATTATTTAAAACTCTGAATACAATTGTGGTAATTAACTGTGTAATGAACATATGTATATGTGTTTGACTTCTTTTTAATATACTATTTTAAGACAATTTGACTGTGTGCTGTTTATTGTTGTAATTTATTGCCAAAAAGTCATAGACATGTACTGTAAAGAATCCAGCCCATATCCATCCATAAAAACTTGAAAAGCAGTTGGTTGTGTGTATTTATTTTTCATACTAAGTTAAGACATTTGTGTAGCTGTCTTTCCTGTATGGTATAAAGTCTGCATAGGAAAGAAAACTTTAGCAGTAGAAGTGTAAAGCAATGAAAACAGACAAAGTTGAATTGTAACATTTTCATTTTAGTGGAAGTTTCAACATTTAGCAATATTTTCAAATAGAAAAATAAAGGTGTTCTCTCATACTGTTTGACAATAGGTGTAGAGTTTAACTTAATAATGGCTGGAGACGGCTTAAATGGGTAATGAAGCCGTCTCCAGCCATTATTAATCTCAAAGTGGGTTCCTCGTCATCGAATGAGAGTTTAACTTAGTTCAGTGCTCTGTTTTTTTCTTGTATAGGTACAAAAGCAATAAAATTAACTTGGGGAAGGTTCACTGCTGTGTCCTCTATGGCCAAGAGAAGGGTTGGTAGCTTTAGCAGTTATTAACAAGCCAGACAACTGTATAAGTGATGCTGTATTTTGTTATGCAGTCTGTTATATAAGACTTTAGCTGTGGCAATTAAACTATAGGCTGATAGCTACAGGGTTACAAACTGTAACTTCATATTAGTTTCTTGTGTCATTAAGTGGAATGATATGTGAGGTGCTGTTTTCACGCTACATAAGAACCAGGTGCTTGTCCTGCAAGAAGAACAGCACTCAACCACTACAAATGAACATAAAAATGGCAGGATTTTATTTCATATTTTAGTGCAGTATAAAAGTCTGCCAAGACTACTGCAGCAGAAGACACTTTGATTAAGATAGAAAGTGGATATATTTGAAATAAATGTTTCACCAATCAACACCCTATATTGAAGCCTGAATTTCTGATCAGTTTAGAAGGTGACCAATGCTGACATCTTTGCTTTCTTCATTTTCATCTTTTTTTCTGAGTTTTGGTTTTTCTTAAAAAATGTCATGTGAAAGGACAAAGATTGGATGACAGATGACATACTACTGATGATGATGATGAAGAGAAAAAAGAAGAAGAAGACTTCAGAATGTGATGAAATTGGAAAGAAAATTAAGAAAGCATGTAAAGAAGCAAAAGAAAAATGGTATAATGAGATGTGTGATGACATCTTAGAACTTGAGAAGAACCATGAGATTAGAGCCATGCATCAAAAGGTGAAATCATTGATTGATTGAAAAAGGGGTATAAGAACAGATAGTTGATGTATCAGAGATAAGGATGGAAAAATTGTGTTTGAAAGAGATGCAGTGGCTAGAAGATGGACAGAATATATAATTGACTTATAGGATGACTCTAATTATGGTGAACCCAGGATGGTACAGGGAGACACTGGTCCGAGCATTATGAAGGAGGAAGTGTTATATGCACTAAAAATCATGAAAACAAGAGTAGGCACCAGGTATTGATGAAATAACAACAGAACATCTGAAAGCCCTGGATGAGTCAGAGTTAAAGATAATAACCAATTTATGTGACAAAATTTACCGATCTGGTCACATACCTAGTTATTTAAGCCACTCTTTATTTTTAAAGTTACCAAAAAATCAAAAGGCAATGGAATGTAGTTAAGCTTGATGAGTAATCTCATGAAAGTAATGCTGAAAATCATGACAGAGAGAAATGACCATTTTAGAGGCAGCATTTGGGATTGAGGCCAGGTATAGGCAAAAAAGAAGGAATATTGAATCTAAGATCAATCTTTGATAAATACCTGGAAATGAACAAGAGCATATATATATATATGCTCCATTGACTATGAGAAGGCTTTTGAAAGGGTGTACCATCAAAATATAATAGATGTGCTAACCAAGTGTAATATAGATAGCAGAGATGTGAGATTCATCCAGAACCTGTACTTGGAGTAAAAACCAAGTATTCATCTAGAGGAAAGTCAGTGTGGTGTAAGACAAGGTTGCATACTTTTGACAAAGCTATTCAACCATTACACAGAACAGATATTTAGAGAGATAGATGAGCTCCCAGGAATAAGAATTGAGTTGGAGGGGTTAATATAGTGGCAGTAAGGTGTGCTGGTGACACAGTGCTACTGGCAGAGTCAGAGGAAGCATTACAAAGGATAATGTATTTAGTGAGTAGGAGAAGTTTAAGAGTATGGGTTGAGCATTAACATAAAGACAAAACCATGGTTGTGAGGAGAGATGTAAAAGAAAAAGTTAGAGACAACATCAAAGTGGATGGTCACACAATAGAGCAAGTGGACAAGTTTGTCTACTTGGGACAACTAATAACTGAGGATGGTAAATGTGAGGTACAAGTCAAGAGATGGATAGAAATAGCAAGAGCAAATTTCATCTCTATGAAAGATGTATCAACAACAAGAAAAATTAGGTTACAGACAAAAAAGAAACTTATAAAATGCTATATAGTATCCATTTTCCTGTATGCTACAGAGACTTGGACACTGACCAAAGCACTCTGGAACAAAACAGAAGCATTGGAAATGTGGATGCTTAGAAGAATGTTGAAAATATCATATACAGAGTATAAAACAAATGGGGAAATATTGGAAATATCCAAAACAAAGTTTACACTAAAAACAGACATCCAAAAAAGAAAGTATCAGTATTTTTGACACATTATCAGAACAAATAAGATTCAAAGAACTTTGATAGAGGGTGAGGTGGAAGTCTGTAGAAAGAGAGGTTGACCACATAGAAAATGGGTTACAGATGTTATGGAGTAGTTGTAGTCTAGCTACAGTGATTGTGTGAGGAAGGCACAGTGCAGACAAATATGGAAAGTGTTGACAATTAATTTCCTGTGTGGAGCAGCTATAAGCAGATGATTGGTTGGAGAAGCTGTTCTTGCTTTGAGCAGACATTTTGCCTTTTATTTTAAACTTTACATTCAAAACATTTTTTGCCTAATCATGTAGGATGTTTTAAATCTTAACATGTAGCCCATAGTTGAGCTTGAGGACTTGGATAGCATGCTCTCCTGGAGTCATGCAGAAGGTGAACACACTGTCTGTTTTACCCACTAGTGATTTAGGCACCTCCTCTTCCCAGCCTTCCTATAGCTTCTCTGAAGAATGACTGTAGGTTATATAGAGAAGTGCTATAGTTTTCTTTTAAAACAGCTATAGACAACATAAGGACTGTTGACTATAGAATGATTATAGACTGCATAAGAAAGGACTATAACATTTTCATTTAAAAGCTATAGACTGTGTAAGAAAGAACTACAACTTTCCCATTGAAAAGTTATAGACTATGTAAGAAAGGACTACAGCTTTCCCACTGAAAAGTTATAGACTATGTAAGAAAGGACTACAGCTTTCCCACTGAAAAGTTATAGACTATGTAAGAAAGAACTACAACTTTCCCACTGAAAAG